TTTTCCCGTGTAAGATTAAGAGTATCTTGGCGATGTTTCGGCGAGGTCCCACTCGCCATCCTCAGGCTGGTGCTTTTGGCTTCGTGCCAGTGCAAGCAGTGTGTAATCGGAGCTGCTGTCTCTCTATAAATACTGGTGGTGGGGGCTGGTGTGTTGGGCTGGTTGGCTGCGCTGCTGCCTCTTGATTGGTTGATGGAGTTGATGTTGGTATAATGGGCTGTGTGATGGCCTTGTGAGTTTTGTTGTGGAGATATCCTGGATCTTGTTCTATAATCTCCTGGGTCGTTTGTTTTGTAGTGATTTTTCCATTAGCCTCTTGTGTTTTAAAGGCTTGGGTAATGGGTTGTGTGATGGGCTTGCAAGTTCTTTTGTTGTGGTATCCTGGGTCCTGCGTTGTAATCTCCTGGGTCATTTGTGTTTTGATCCCCCAAAAAACCAAAACACAGAACAAGACAACAACAATTACCCAGCCACGTACATTGGACAAACCAACAGGAGAATAAATGCATGTATCGCAGAACACAAAAACGCAGTCAGAAAATAAGAAAATACTTCCTCCCTCTTCCAGCACCTTAAAGCCACAGGACATGAAATTAATTTCGAAGGAACCAAATTAATATCCAACACTGAACACTCCAGCAAGAGAATAATCAGGGAAGCCATCAAGATAGAGAAACACCCCCATAACATGAATAGATAGGACGATACCTCCCACCTACCAGACATCTGGAAGCTAGCCCTCACCAACAAACAAGTCCCAGCCACGAAAACCAACACCAGACCCAAAACAACACGGGATATCACCGCCAACCCCCCTCATCAGACCCAGGCCCAAGCCCATCCTATAAACGAAGGACAACCACCATCCAGAAAACAGACCACGGCTGCTTCGCCAGCTGTCACACACCCTGACCCCCAAACCAAACAAGCTGACACACTCCAAGAACACAGACCCAGACCCCAAGCTCAAAGCCAGACTAAAACCCAGAAAGCTACATCACAGCCACCCACGCAGGATATCACATCAGAAAACTCAGGAAATTACGCCACAACAACTCAAGAAGTTGCAACACAGCAAATGACCCAGGATATCACAGCACAAGACCAAGGATACCACAGCAATAAGTCTCACAAGGCCATCACACAGCCCATTATACCAACATCAACTCCATCAACCAATCAAGAGGCAGCAGCGCAGCCAACCAGCCCAACACACCAGCCCCCACCACCAGTATTTATAGAGAGACGGCAGCTTCGATTACACACTGCTTGCACTGGCACGAAGCCGAAAGCACCAGCCTAAGGATGGCGAGTGGGACCTCTCCGAAATGTTGCCAAGATACTCTTAATCTTACACGGGAAAAGACCCGAACACACCTAGACCTACACACACACACACACACACACATATTTGTTTTCTGAGGTTCTCGTGGGTATTTGTAGGTGGATCTTTGGTTATTCGGGTTTTCTCCCGCATAAGATTAGAAGTATCTAGGAAATGTTTCGATGAAGTCTCATTCATCATCTTCGGGCTTGTGTCTTCAGCTCTGTGCTTTTCAGCACAGAGTGAATCACTCTGAGAAGCACAGAGCCGAAGACACAAAGACACAAGCCTGAAGATGATGAATGAGACTTCATTGAAACGTTGCCTAGATACTTCCAATCTTACCTGGGAGAAAACCGAATAACCGAAGATAGATAGATAGATAGATAGATAGATAGATAGATAGATAGATAGATAGATAGATACACATACATATACACATACACACACACACACACATATATATGCCTGCATACCTGTCTCCGTGAAAATCTATGAATATATATGTAGAGCTGGTAGCGGCGATGAGCAGCAGAGACAGAACTGGTTCTCTCTGCCACTCCGCGGTTGGGCCCGCCCAGCCTCCCATACTCACCTTTATCCTCTGAATTTGAAGCGCAGCTGCTTTGAGTGGCACAGAAGAGTGCCGCGCGGCAGCTGCTGCAACAACTGGGAGAGTGCAGGCTTGCAGGAGGCGAGTTAGAACGCCTCTGTGCCTGTGCAAAGTGCGTGTTTGGCGTGCACGCACGCGCAAAGTGTGTGCACGCAAGCAAAGTGTGCCCACCAAGCCACGCCCACTGAACCGGTGGTAAAAATATTTGAATCCTGCCACTGACAGAGAGGATTGCTGGTTTGAAAGAGGGGTTAACAAGGAAGAACAAGGAGAACCAAGCACCCCTCCACCTGGAATCAGCACTCAGATCAGCATAGATTAACTCCAAGGTTGACTTTAGACCAACAATCAAGTAAACAAACAATTAAACACACATAAAGACTACCCCACTCCCAGTCTGGGTTTTTTAGTATTTATAATACACATTTTTATTCTGTGTTATTTTAATTGGGGGCTGTTGTTTTCCTTGTTTATTGTGAGTCAATGAGGTTTTTATGATTCGTAATTATCGTAATTATCCTAACCAACCTATATTGGATCCTGTATAATCCTAACCGACCCAGATTGGATCTTGCATAATCATCATAATTTATTATACTTGTAGGCTATCTGATTCCCAACCACTCTGGGCGGTTAACGATGAAACAAAGAAATTAAAATTGATAACAGTTGGCAAGTACAACATGGATGGAATGAAGCCAGCGGTCCCATTGTCCTGTGTCAAAGATCTGGTGAAATGTCATTGTCAGGCAATTTTTGACAACAGCAGAGAGGGGGGTGGCATCTGGATCTCCGGGGACCTCTCATTCCAAAGGATATAAATTTGATAATTGTAGATAATTTGAACATTGTAGATAAATAAATGGCAACCAAGCCAAAAGTTGCCACAGTTCAAAGCCAATATAAAAAATAAAACAATATAACAATGCTCCTAGCCAAGATTGAGTATGAAAAGGACGTATCCTCCCAAGAGAATGGGCTCACCAATGTATGGGAAGAAAGCCAAGTCTTGGCAGCTCTGTGAAAAGATAAAAAGAGTCTAACGTTAAATTTCTTGGCTGCAGGAACTGGAGAGGAAGTTTAAATGGCTGTTTCCCTCACACATCATTTTTTCTTTCTGAAGTACTATGTTGCGTTAAAGAACAGGGTGAATCTATGGCAAAATATGTGTTGTGTCCAGAATTGATAATGGATATTTTTCAGTCTCTCCCTTCATCCTCCCAAGCTTGTATTCTTTCTACCTTTTGTCTTGTTTTTCTTTTAACTCCTAGGTGGAGTCGATGCGTCACTCCATGGGGCCTGGTGGCTATGGGGACAGTATGGCTGCCAACCAGATGTACAGCCCACGAGAAATGAGGGTGAGTTTAGGTCAAGAGTGGGATAACTTCTGGTTTACTTTGGCCTCTGGCAGGATCATTTCCAACTGGTTGCTTGGCTGTGCTACGTAATACAGAGTTCCCCAACCTTTCCGGGATGGTGGCCCGGAAAGGTCGGAAGGCGGAAAGAGGGGATGGTTTTGTGGGAGGGGTAGGTGCCTGGGTGCACACAAGCATCCATTACTCGCACGAGTGGGGCTAAGAGTGCCCACAATACTTGTGCAAGTGGAGCTTCAAGCACCCATCATACTCAAGCAAGTTAGGCCGAGAGCGCCCGTGACGTTCGCGTGAGTTAGGCCACGATGCTGGCACGAGTGGGGCCGAGAGCGCCTGCGACGTTCGCACAAGTGGGGCGGTGCGCATGCGTGCACATCAGCTGGCTCCTCATATGAATTAAAATGCCATCTTTCAGTTTCGAGACTATGGTATCATGCTATGAAACCGGTAACTGCCACTTCCCATGTTGTTTCAATGCTCTATGCCCGCAATGGTGAACCTATGGCATGCGTGCCACAGGTGGCATACAGAGCCATTTGTGGGGGCACGTGATTCCCCAGCCAAACTTACCTGCACTGCGCATGCGTGCTCTTCCCAGCTGATTTTCGACCCATTTGAGGCCGTTTTCGCCCTCTTGGAGGCTAAAGGAAGTGCCTGTTTTCAGCCTCCGGAGAGCCTCTGGAGCTCAGGGGAGGCCGTTTTCGGCCTCCTGGAGGCTCAAGGGAAGCCTCTGCAGCCTCGGGGGGGCAGAAATGAGCTGGGAGGCGCGTGCATGCGCAATGCAGGTAAGGGGGCAGGGCAGAGGTGTTGAGCGCGCATATGCAGGGGGAGGTGGGGGGTGCGTTACATTGTGGGTGCCAGCACATGCACGAGCTTTCGGCACACCACAACAAAATGGTTCGCCATCCCTGCTGTACGCAAAGCTGGAGTATCCTTTCCAGAGCACGAGGCCTGGGTGGAGGATAAACTGTTGCCCAAGCAGCAGATTCTCCACTCTCCACATCACTGAAATAGTCTAATGGAACGGCAGAGCCGATACGATTAGGTCCAGCTGCGTCGCAGGAGTTTCCCAGAACGTGATTGTACGCAATCACAAACTGCTTCTGGGACTCTGGCTCCGGATTTTCCTTCGAGGTTGACTCCGGCCAGAAGCCTTTTCCAATAATAAGATAGAGCCACGAGGCAGCGGAGGTTTGAAATCGAAGAGTTTCCCCTTTTCCTAGAAGATGGTTCTACCGTTTTATCTCCCATTGGAGCATAAAGCCCTCTTCCGCCCTCAAAACTGTTGACCATCTTCTCCTATAACCCTGGAAAGGGGCCCTTACGAGGTGCTACCAGCCGGGTCAGCTGGACCAAGGTTTTTTAAGGAGGCCTTGGTCCTCCGACTGACAGCAGCTCTAGTAGCTTCTCAGAGAGAACCGGTTCGGTCTTGGACAATCTTGACCGCTACCAGTATGCCAGAACCGGGCTGAACCTATAGAATACCACTACTGGTACATACATTCTCCGTGTACATAAAAGAAAAGATACATTCATCAAGAATGATAAGGTACAACACTTCATGATAGTCATAGGGAACAAATAAGCAATCAAATCGTACTAAGAAACTGTCAGTGTAGATTATAAGGATACAATCGACAAAGTTACAGTCATTCAGTCACAAGTGGGAGAGGATGGGTGAAAGGAAGGATGGGAGGATTAATAGTAATAATAGTTCAGACTTTGTAAATAGTTGGAGAGTGTTGAGGGAATTATTTGTTTAGCAGAGTGATAGTGTTCAGGGGGAAAAACTGTCCTTGTGTCTAGTTGTTCTGGTATGCAGTGCTCTATAGCGTTGTTTTGAGGGTAGGGAAGGGAGATTTACCATCCTTCTTTGTTCTTTCACTACAGGCCAATGGAGGCTGGCAGGAAGCAGCCACCCCATCTTCTGTCACCTCCCCAACAGAAGGTCCCGGCAGTGTCCACTCTGACACCTCCAACTGATCCTGCTGTGCTGGCCGTTCCCCTCCTCCCCCCTTTTGACCTTCGTCCCGATGCCAGGGAAGAGAGAAAAACGCAGTTTTGAATGGGCTGGGCAGAGACAGGACTCCTTTCATTGCCTTAGGGTCACTGCATCACCGTGCCGGGGAAGGGTGGGGGAGGGGAATCTGATGACCCGATGATCCTTGGGGGGGGGCAGATCGTTTTGAGGTGCGCCCATCGTCGGATAGAAGACGGAGGTCCTTCTGTGATCCTGAGTGATGTCTTTGATAACCAAGGCCTGACTCTTTAAGCATCCTGGAGGGGGGAACCCAGCATTATTGGGCGGTGGGTGGGAACGGGTGGGCGAGGTGGGTGTCCCAAACGGCTTATCAATTTGCAGGGGTTAAGGGATAGGCTACTGTGGTACCTGCAACCAATGTCATCGTCTGATGGATCTGGTTCATAAGGTTATACACGCCCCCCCCTCAAAAAAAAAGATCTGTGACTGGCAGTGTGGACGGATCTCTTGTAAGAGAAAGCGCAACGAAAGCTTGCTGGACGGGGCTCGTGTTGGCATCTCTCCGTGATGGGATGATTCCAAAGGGATAGACCGGTGCCTTCCTGTACCAGTTCAACCAGGTGAAATCGTGGGCGATCCGGATCCTGTCCCAGACCAAGATGGCGCTTCCTTCATAGGTTGTAATCAAGGATAATCATTTCTCCTACGGGCTATTTCTGAAGACAAGAAGTGCTCTTTTCACTCCTCTCTTGCAAGCGGGGTTGTGTGGAGTCATGAGGCTACCCTTCTTGGACCGAACCACCCAACATGCCTCTCCGTCTATCAGTATGTTTTCCTGCGTCTGAAGACCTAAAAAGTTGGGAGTTCAGAAAGCAGCTGTTTCTCAGGCAGATCTCCTTCAAGAAAACATGTGGGAAGCCAAGGTGTCGAGTAATGTTGGTAAGGAGGTTAGAGACAAGACTTACCTTTATCCAAAGGTAGTGGTAGAATTCCATTAGAGGAGCAGTCCCCAACCTGCTCTTGTTGGGGGGGAGAGGGGAACTGGCTGTTTGTGCAAGTTGAACTGCACACACACGTGTGCTCCAGCCAGCCGCTCACGTGGCCTGATGCCAAACAGGCTGCGGCCTAGTAGTAGGCCGTGGCCAGAGGTTTGGGGACCCCTGCATTAGAGCAGTTAAAGGTCTTTAGGAAGGAGAACTAGTGTTAAGCACAACATTAGGGAGAAGTGGATTTTCTAGAACAGAGTTTTTCAAACTACATTGAGTGGAACCCTATAAGACGCCATGAGAATTTGATGGGGTTCCATAAAGGGGGGGGGGATAATAATAATAATAATAGAATAACAGAGTTGTAAGAGATCTTGGAGATCTTCTAGTCCCGTGATGCAAACCTGTGGCACGCGTGCCACAGGTGGCACGCAGAGCCATTTGTGCCGTCACGTGAGCTGCAGGCAGTCTTACCTCACTGCGCATGCGTGCGCCTTACAGCTCTTTTTCGGCTGGTTTGAGGCCTTTTTCAGCCTCCCAAAGGCTTGAGGAAGGCTTCTGCAGGCTGAAAACTAGCCCTGCTTCATCACTTCCTGTTTTTCTGAAAATACTGGAAGTGATGAAACGGGCCTAGTTTTTGGCCTGCAAAGCCTGCAGAAGCCTTCCTCAAGCCTCTGAGAGGCCGAAAAAGGCCTCAAACCGGCCAAAAATCAGCTGTGAGGTGCAGTGCAGGTAAGGGGGCAGCGGGGGTGGGTGAGTGGGGATTGTGCATGCATGCGTAAGGGGCATGGGGGCATCCACATTGCCTTCTGGGTGCTGGCAGGTGAGCGTGCAAGCCCACGCACAATTTTTGGCCCAGGAGCCCAAAAAGGTTAGCCAGGAAATTTCTCCTGTTTTTATTTTTGCTTCTCTTCTTGATTACTTGATTACATCTATTGCTTCTTGTCCTGCCTTCAGGCGCTTTGGAGAATAGCTTGACACACACACCCCTCAGATATTGACACAGCTATCCGTTGAATGTGACAATTTGCTGGTCACCGAAGTTTTGACTCTAGGTCAGGGATTCCGGGATTTTATTTTTATTTTTTTTAACTCACCATTTTGTGGCCTGGAAGTATCTGGGAAAAGGTCTTGCTCTGGAATAATTGGGGGAAATCAGCTTGGACTCTCAGCTTACTATAAATGTTACACCCTGTCAGTGGTGGGAGCTTGAATTTCATAGAGATCTACAGGATGTTGGACTAGAAAGACGCTCCCCAGTGCATACAGGCACATATACGACCCCTCACCTCTTAAAGAAGACATATTTAAGGAGACCACCACAAACCCACACCCACTCCGAAGCACTTTGTCCAGGGGTGGGAATCGTCCGGTTCAGACCGGTTTGGGCGAACCCCTTGCTCCGAAATTCCTGCTCTTTCCTGTGCTTTATTCCCTTTTAAGAGCACAGCTGATTCGCATGGCAGAACAATTTGCTGCGCCTCAGCTGTTTTATTCACAGGGACTGCAGTAGAAAGTAGGTATTAGAGCTTTTTTAGATGGTGAGCGTGCGTGAAGCGCACGATCACCGAACTGGTTGTTATACCGGTGGAATCCCACCCCTGACTTTGTCACACCCTGTTGGAATAGCTTTAAACTCAAAAGCTTGTGTTTCCCTGGAATTGACTGAGTACCATACAGTCCTAGGTGTCTGTGGAGATCCTTAAGCCATCCAGGTCGTAATTGTCTCAGCGGTGCTTTTTGTCCCCAAAAGGCAACTGGGCTTTTAAAAAAACAGACCAGTTGCCTTTAAAAAAAAAAAAAGTACCTTTGAGATACACGGCAAAATGTGACTCTTTTAAAAGGAGGGCCTAACGTGCACCTTTTTAGTATCAGATTTAATGAGGTGCTGAACTTTGTAAATCTTTTGCATCTGTTCTTAACAGAAAGGGACCTTGGAGGTCAACTAGTCCAACCCCCTTGCTCAAGCAGGAAACTCTATAATATCTCAGACAAATGGCTGTCCAAACTCTTTTAAAAACTTCCAGTGTTGGAACATTTACAACTTCTGGAGGCAAGTTGTTCCATTGATTAATTGATTTCACTGTAAGAAAATTTCTCCTCAGTTCTAGGTTGTTTCTCTCTTCCTTTAGTTTCCACCCATTGCTTCTTGTCCTGTCCTCAGGGGCTTCCCTCTTTTTTGTGGCAGCCTCTGAGATATTGGAACACCACCACCCTGTCTTCCCTAGTCCTTCTTTCCATTATCTTTCCTTTGCTACTTTTCTCTTTCTTCAGCTAATGTCCCATTAGTTCTTACGTATCCATATTCTTTTTGTGATTTATTTTTGTTTTCCCTTTTTAATATTTTCTGACATCTGAACTTTGGTTCTGTTCCATTACCAGAGTAGAGTTTTTCTACTTGACCAAACAAAAACTCAACCTGCTAGATTCCTGAACTATATACATTTTCACTGTGGCGATTGTGCAAATCATAACTTGTGCCAGTTAGTGAGAAGGGCTTTTTACATTTCTTTTTCAAAAGGAAAGAACATGAGAACGTACAAAATGGTGTGGCAGGCCATTGGGCACAGTTATGTCAATTGCTGTTTATTCGATTAGTATATCCTTAAGAGCCTCCGTGGATAATCATGGATGTGCTTATGGCCAAGATGCTTTGCAGTATTATCTTTCTAATAATATTGGAATGAAAACAACGGAAGGGGCCTCTGAGCAGGATTGTATTGGCTAAGAGGAGATGCCTTTTATTTTGGAGGGAGAATTTTTGGGATGGCAAGTGGAAGTGGAGGAAAGATCTGCTAGCTTTTAGCAACCTTACACCAAATGAATGGGACATTTATGTAAGTTAAAACGTCCAATTCACTTTGGGAATCTTGGCGTTCCTTATAAGTATTACCTGGGTTTTTTTTAAAAAGAGGTGAAGGTAGTCCTCAGCTTATAACCACATCTGAGTCCAACATTTTTGTTGCTAAGTGAGACAGTTAAATTGAGTTTTGCCCCATTTTACGATTTTTCTTGCCACAGTTGCTAGTGAATCATTACAGTTGTTAAGCTAGCCACACGTTAAGTGAATCTTCCCCTCTGACTTTGTCAGAAGGTCCCAAAAGGTGATCATATGACCCCGGGACACGTCATAAATATGAACCGGTTACCAAGCACCTGAATTTTGATCACATCATCATGGTCATAAATGTGAACATGATCGTACGTCACTTTTTTTCTAGTGTTGTTGAAACTTCGAATCGTCACAAAAATCAAGGGTTTTTAAAACGAGGACTACCTGTATTGAAAAAAATTGTCATTACCAGTTCTTCCACCAGCTACAAATTCTGATGGTGAAATCACACACTTTCCCCCAAAAAAATATTGGAATAAAAGTAGGTGGAAGGACCTTCAAGCAGGATTGTATCATGTTGATCTGATCAGGTAACTGGGTCTGACCCTTGCAGAAAATTATAGTCGCCACAAGCCAAAACATGTGGATTAGATATCAGATTAAGTCCCAGTATTGGGCAAGAATGTAGACAAGGCAGGAAGCTTTGAGGGCTCACACCGATCCTGTTTGCTCTTGGCCTACCTAAGGAGCCTTTAGGGAGGGGGAAAAGATTTGAACAAACCAGAAGTACAGTTGGACCCTCAACGACCGCAGTAGTGCTTAACATTTCCGTTGCTAAGCAGTTGCGGTGAGTTCTGCCTCATTTTATGCCCTTTTGGGCATGATGGTTAAGCAAATCGCCTCAGTTGTTAAGTGAATCATGCAGTCGTTATTAAGCAAATCTGACTTCCCTCATTGTCAAGCCAGCTGGGAAAGTTATTTTAAAATGTGATCACATGATCCCAGGCAGGACAATTGAAGTGTGATAAATATATGCCAGTTGCTAAAATGCCCAAATTTTGATTACGTGACCATGGGGATGCTGCAATTGTGTAAAAAAAACAGGCTGTAAGTCACTTTTTCCAGTGCTGTTGTAACTTCGGTCAGAGAATGAATGGTTATAAGTTGAGGACTACCTGTATTCCACCTTCAGAACCTTTTTTCTGTTCTTCCCTTTTTACAAGTGTCGTCACAAAGGCAGAGCAGGACATAATTTCTTCCAGAGGAACAAACATCAAAATCTGCTGCTTCCCAATATATTGGCCTACAGCTCCCATCATGCCCCACAACTCCTCCTGACAGTGAGCATTGGGAGCTGTAGTCCTTCCTATATAAAATTCGCCAACTTGGAAAGTACTAAAATACGTTTCCATCTTAGGCACAGGGCTTAATTTGGAAGGGTATTTTCTTTACCAGGATTTGGGGTGAAGGGGCATGTGGGGGGGGGAGTGTGATTGTGTAAATAGTTTGGTGGGCAAAGTGAATGATCCGTGAGGCAGAAAACCGTGGCAACCACCACAAATTAGCTCGAAACGCGCAAAAGCAGGTGTGGAGGGGTGTACAGTGGAAGACTTGTAGGAGAGTAGATGTTAAAATAGTGGAAAAGGAAGGAAGTAGGCCTTTGAAAATCTCAGAAAGGAAACTAAATAAAAACTTGAGGGCAGGAAGATTCAGATTAGACAAGTAAAGCTTGACATGTTACATCGGACAGGGAGAAACAAGTAATCCAATAGTCCAAATATATTTTAAGAGAAGGTTTCTCAACCTTAGCCGCTTTAAGAGATGTGACTTCAACTCCCAGAATTCTTCCTCCAGTCATGTTAGCTCAGGAATTCTGGGAGTTGAAGTCCACAAGTCTTAAAGCAGCTAAGGTTGAGAAACGGTGTAGAGCAGGAGTCTTCAAACTTGACAGCTTTAAGACTTGTGGA